AATTGTAAACATGCAAAACTATGTAGTCGAATGTAGGCGTGGTCGTAGACGTTTGTGGGAGTGGTCGATATACGAATTTTTGATGCGATTCCACAGTTCGGTGACTTTCGTAATATTTGGCGCGCTGCAAGTGACAAAAGTCCTTTCCACAGAGGAAGCGAAGCGCGCCATAGAAGGGTCTGGAAAGGACTTTGGAAAGTCTAATCTTGGCCATGTAGACAGGCTGACGGCCAAGCCTCGAGCTATATACAAATACAGCTCACATTTAGTGTGGGAAGACAAATTTGCGTGCTTTTATAACGCAGCACTTCAGTTTTATTATGTTCTTCGTTGTTCTTGCTGGGTTTACTGGAGTTTGTTGGCTTGGATGTACATTTCAAGAATACAATGTTGGTGAAACTACCAGGAGGGGTATAGCTATGTCAACGAAATTCCAGCAAATAGTAAAGCGCAAATTAAGCGCAATCAAGTAAGTTATAATAGTATATCGGATCACCGTTTTTAATATGGCCATAAATTAATATGCCCATAACGTTTCAATAAATGCGTTATATCAAATGTTTAACAAACATAGTGTACATATACTCGGAACTATAGGTGTCTCCTGAATCTTTAATTGCCAAGTATTGATCTTACAGTAGCTAAATTTTCTATGATATGACAGCGCAACCGCATGGCGCAAATATTGTACGGATCGAGACAGAATCGAAGTGATAATACTGTGATGAACTGTATATATACAGTATATAAGAAATCGAGTTTTGAAATCGATTAAATTTATATATAGTCGTGCATGATTTTGCCATCAACTTATTCGAATGAGGAATCATTATTGAATTAAGAAGACTCGTAAAAGACTCGTACATTTGACCAAGAAATGCCTAAATAAACTCCTATATAATCTATACGCAAATACGCGATTTTGTTAATGGATGTATGACGAGGTTCATGCCATTTGTTGCCTGGTTTGCGAGTTTGCCCTGTGGTAAAATGCGGCATGACTGGTCGGAAGACTTAATTTGTTATTTCAGCTGTTTCGACAGTAAGTTTTAGTAAGAAATGCGTACATGAAGATTGAAGTTATTTTTAAGTTTTCACTCGAGTTTTCATGGTGGTTTCGAAAACGAAGACCTACGAAAACGAAGACCGAAGACCTAAGTTGGGTCTTCGTAATTACGAAAACGAAGACCCACTACGAAAACGAAGACCCATCTTTGTTTTCGTACTACGAAAACGAAGACCCTAAAATATTTATTTACATTGTTTTCGCGCCCACTACGAAAACGAAGACCCATCTTTGTTTTCGTACTACGAAAACGAAGACCCTAAAATATTTATTTACATTGTTTTCGAGAAAATAAGCGTAAAAGTGTCGCGAAAAATTTCCGATAAATTGCTGGAAAAAATTAAGGAATAATAATATGTTATGGTATATATGTCAATATGATCAAGGAAAATACGATTCAGCAATAAAAATAGAATCACTAGAAACCTAAACCAGTATTCAGTAAATCACTCAAGTATTTTTAATATAGTCAAAGGCAAACATCAGACAAGTAACTAAATAATTTTAAAATGTAAAATGTCAACAACAGAATGTCAGAATTACAATTGCAAAATTTACAATGTTAACAAATATTCGACATGTATTTATTTAATTGCTGTACTACTGTCAATGTCTGGGCAAATCAGTTAAGTTTGAATCAGTAATACCACGGTCAATAGAACCACCAGAGTACGTACATAGTACACACAGATGTCTCAGTGATTCAAGTTAATTTAGCGTAAGGGATTTTTCCAGTATACGCCGTGTTCTTAGGAAGTGCCCTAACGAGAGGTATAGTCAACCCCCTGAAAACATATTGAAATTTAAACGCTTATTTTCGCGAAAACAATGTAAATAAATATTTTAGGGTCTTCGTTTTCGTAGTACGAAAACAAAGATGGGTCTTCGTTTTCGTAGTGGGTCTTCGTTTTCGTAATTACGAAGACCCATCTTAGGTCTTCGGTCTTCGTTTTCGTAGGTCTTCGTTTTCGAAACCACCGAGTTTTCATGTCATACTGAACTGCATATATATGAACACATATAGTAAAGACAACCTTGTAATAGTTTAACTGTATACAGTATAGGTAAAAATTGAAGTGTAGCTGGATTTTAAAGACTAGTTAAAATTCATAAAATGTTGGTGAATAATTTCATGAGCCTTTTCCCAAACGATTCATAAGTGCATGGTTCGTATATTATAATTATACGATTTCATTGACAGGCCCATTCTCATAGAGTAAAGATTATGAACTATGTTATAATATGGTTTCCAATTTTAGAAATCTAAATCAGTTCATGAACATTTCATGCATATTGATCATGAACTGTTCCATGAAGTGTTCATGAATCACTTCATGAAAATTCATGAGGAATTCATGAAACGCTAACCATGAATTACTCATGAATTATTCGTGAATGATTCATGAAATGTTCATGATTACAAGATCATGAAGTATTCATGAACAGCAATTTTCATGAACTGTGCCATTTAATGTTCATGAGAAAATTCATGAAAAGTTCATGAATATAGCTCATGATTTGCTCTTCAAAAATGCATGAACATTAGTTCATGAACTGTTCATGAACAAAAAAGTTCATGAACTTGTTATTCATGAACTGTTACTTTCATGAACTGTGCCATTTAACGTTCATGCACATTCATGAAGAGTTCATGTACTTTTGATGGAAGTTCATGAACAAAATTCATGAATTTTTCATGAATAATTCATCAAATTTTCGCCGGGGAAGTATCTTAATTACTCCTCAAGCAATGCCGGGTTCAGAGTCCTCACCTGTTCGCCTAGCATGCCCCCAAAACAACCTGAGTGCCCGGGCTGAATCTATCATTGCTAAAAAGATTATGATTATAATCAACAATATACAATTTTAATGCCAAATTGTGTGCCAACATACAAAATGGACTCTGCACAGGTTGTGCACTGAGTACCTTTTCATTTCATACTGAGTGAACATTATCGTGAGGATAGCAAAAAAAACAAATTCACAACTAATGTGTCCTCTTTTACTACTTTCCTAATTGTCTTGTTTCATGAACTAAATAAGCTAACACACTTAGTAGCTCATGCTTACCTTTTAACCGGCACAAGCAAGGGCCGGCCCATTTTTCTTTATCGTGATGTCAGGTGTGCAAGTTATTCAATAGGGTATTTATAACCTTGTATACATGAGGGCCTTATATCTGGGCAGGATGTTACAAGGTCATCGGAAGTAAATCAATATTGGGGGGACTCAAGAATATATCTGAACAAATTTTAATTGATTTTGCACTTTTCTAGTTATTTTGTGTGTTTTGCTTATACAAATGGAAATTATAGGGGGGGGGGGGGTCAAGCCCCCCGTTTCCGACGGCCTAGCTTGTGTTACAATTGTGACATTGCCAGCTGCCATTAATTAATAGTTTGCAAAATTGTGAAAATCAATGCTGTAGCTAGATTGCAAGTGGTAATGCACTTTCTCCATTGGCATTATAGACATAATACACATAAAATTCCACAAGACCAATTAACTTGGTAACCCTGAGTATTCCATACTCATTGGGAAATTGAGAAATCAGTCAGATGCAATTGTACCCACCCTCTGGTCGACCCTTGCCACTAGACGTTTCTGTACCTTTGCCCTGCATATCATGGTTTATGAACTCAACATTTTATGATTGAATTAGCTCTTCTACAATGATATTTTATGCTCAAGTAAATAGACAGTAGTACAGCAAGCTGGCTGGAATATGGTCAGAGGTTCACTCCTCAGTGGCACAACTCTTGAGGGCTGTGCCCGGCAAGAGCCAGGGGCCCAGGGGGTGTGCCTTGTCATGGAAGGTCCCTGGGCTAACCTTTATGCAGTGTTTGGAAATTTTAATTTAAATAATTTAATTAATAAATTAAATTAATAATTAATTAATTAATTAATTAATTAATAATAATAATTATAAACAAATTAATAGTAAATAATAATTATTAATTAATATTTAATTATTTATTTAATTAATTAATATTTTTAAATTTTTTTTTTAGCTTAAAAGCTGACTCCCTGCCCACACTCTGAACAGTACGGCAAGGGGGCCCTTGACGGGGTGCACTGAGACTTCATCCTATCCATAATTAAGGCTCTGGGAAATGAGTACCCCATTATGCCCCTAGTCAGGGGCGGATCAATGCTGATCTGACAGGAGGGGTGCAGATTTCCCTGGGGGGTGCATTGGTGCGCTGCCGCTACCGTGCTGACCGGGCTGTTGTGTATATTTTTAGGCATATCGCCATGACCCCTGTTTTGTGACCCCTCCCATGTGATCAACTGATCAAGCATTTAAGTCCCTGAGCTAGGATGGACATAAAATGCTCAAATGCCCGGCTAGTACTTTAGTAGCTTGTTAAATTAATGCACACAGTATATTTGCAAAGTATTATTATTCTTTATTTAATAATTATTAATGAATAGTAGTATAAACCAAAATAATATAGCGTATAGCTTTTCCGTAGCTTCCTGAGAATATTTCAAATTCATGAAAATCGTATAGTATTATAGTAACAAACTAACAAAGTTTTTAATAAATAAATTAAATAATGAATAGTTTTTTTAAGTTTTCAATTTCGTAATAAGTACATTATACATTTTATACAGGTAGACTAGTTAGTCAGTTAATTACTTAGATTTTAGACCACCTATTGCGCATGTTTCCCCATGCTGTTACGACTTCGTCCAAATCCAGCAAATCAACAACATCTCTGTTTAACGAAATGCATAAAAGATCACTTAATAGGCTTCGTATTTGCATCCCCAATGAACATCGATTTGCTGCGTAATATGTTTAACTTGTTTGCTAGGATAAATTTTTCTGTGGAGTGATTCTTACTCTTGTCTGATCTTGTAGTGTAGTAGCGAACAGAGAAAGCAAGCTCTTCTCTCTTGCCCTTGTCTTTGCTTTCGTCGATCAGTGCACTGAAGCACTCGGCAGTAGCGATCTGATGGCATATCTGGTTCCGTATCTGAACCGCCAGTATAGACAGCATTTCATTGAGAGACGTTGTACTAGTGTAGTCCACAAGAAGCCTTTTAATTATCTGTTATCGCTTGGTGGAGACTTCGAAACTCCTTGTTGGTCTTCAGTTGCATCTTTATAAAAGTTCTCCAGTTACACGGGTTCTTCGAATCAGCCGCCTCGTCATGGTCCAGGAATGTTATTTCGTTCATTGCAAACCAAATTACATACTGGAACAGAAGTTTAAATTAAAGTACTCTCTGTTGTTTTGAGTTGCTTTCGCTTGGTCGGGAACCAGTTTCGCG